AAACCCTCCTTAGTTGAGCCAACAAAGCTAAATGAGAATACATACATCCCGAAAACATAAAAACAATTCGGTAGAACATAATAGTGCAAAATGAGATCGACCAAATCTTGCATAATGCAGTAAAACTTGAATTTGAAGGTTGTAGTAATTACAGTTTAGAAGCCATGGTAGGCATACTAACAAACAATTTGTTTGTTACTAATATTTAGTAGTTACTCAACCCAGGTTACCGGATTGGAACCAATATCGGATACAAACTTGAAAATGGAGAAGAATTGCTTGAGACATTATTTCTTGAACTTTTCTATTTATATCAATATCTATTACTATTAATTTACAACACTTGCAGCTTGAACTCCAATCAATCTCACCAATGTACAAAAATAATTTGTATCAATTTTTTCATATTAAAATATTAAATACATATAAATATTAACAATTATAACACCAATATTTGTCTTTGGAATACAAAAGTTGCTTGACATTGAGATATCAACTTACCCATGACCCTCTTCAACCTAGAAGCCAACATCTTGGAAATAATTCTATATAAACTTTCAACCAACCTAGATATACAATGAAGTTGAACAAAATAGAAAGTTTCGTACCAAAATCGTAGTTGGACGGCGGAGGATGTTTCGAAGACGGCGAATGGACGGCGAAATGTCTTCGTCTTCGTGCAGTCAGCGGAGGATTTGCGAGGAGACGGCGGATCTGTGAAGAGCGGCGTAGGCGAGACGGGCGGAGCAGCGTAGGCGAGACGGGCGGAACGACGTAGGCGAGACGGGCGGAGTAGCGGCAAGGGTGCGTTCGTAGGACGGAGAAGTTGAACAGTGATGAAATAATTCGCATTTAGGGGTTATTTCAATAATATATATATATATATATATATATATATATATATATATATATATATATATATATATATATATATATATATATATATATATATATATATATATATATATATATATATATATATATATATATATATATATATATATATATATATATATATATATATATATATATATATATATATATATATATATATATATATATATATATATATATATATATATATTACTTTTTACATCGGTGCAAGCATTGGCCCGATGTAAGGGTTCGGGCGGTTATGTTTTTTACATCGGTGCAAGCAGTTGCCCGATGTAAGGGTTCAGGCGCTGATGTTTTTTACATCGGTTTAACGAATGGCCCGATGTAAGGTTTTTGATGTTTTTTACATCGATGGAATAAATGGTCCGATGTAAGGTTTAGCCTATTTTTTATATTACCAATCTGCCACAGACTTTTTTACATCGGTGGATTGCAGGAACCGATGTAATATTTGGCCAGTTTTTTATTTACAATTCTGCCACCTGTTTGTTATTTACAAAACTGCCACCGTGTTTTTTTCACGAAACCTTTTACATCGGTGGATTAAATGGCTCAATGTAATAGATAGAAAAAAATATTTTTTTCTTCATATTATTTATATCATTGCAAATAAATACCTGATGTAAAATGTTTTTAATTTTATTTTTTACATCGTATATTTTTATACTTGATGTAAAAACCTTTTCTCAAATGTCATTTTTTTTAGTAGTGATTAGTGTTGTTGTTGTTTGTTGTTGTTGTTTGTTGTTGTTGTTGTTTGTTGTTTGTTGTTTGTTGTTTGTTGTTTGTTGTTTGTTGTTGTTGAGACCCGAAACATTATAAGTTTAATCTTGTTGTTGTTTAAACTAAGATTGATGTTATATGAATTAATATCTCTCAACAACAACAATAACATAAACAACTCAAAAACAACAATAAATAACAACAACATTAACATTCGATCTCAATATAAACAACAATTCAAATTGTATGCTTTCAAAAACGAATTAGTAGAAAAGAAAGTGTTAAATGAAGAACTTGAAACATTGAACGAGATTCTAATTATTAAAGATCGAGAGATGAATGATGAGTTACATGATGCTCTAAAATCATTAATTAATGTTAGTTGTTCTTCAAATATAACATAATTGTTTATATAATTATTTTGTAAATCAATTTGAAAAGTTACATGTTCAATTAGGAATTTGTGAAATAAACAATTCACATTATATATAATAAACTCAATCGTGTTTTATTCATCGGTTAAATGACAAAACCAATAGAAAAGTATATTTATTTCAAAAAGGATATTGTTGAGAATTAAACCCATGATTATTACACATTATCAGTTGGTGAAATTACAATCGAGAGGTAAAATAACACATTTTTAATGACACTCTTTATTATTTCGTATATGAAACCGAAGGAACAACACATATCCATCGGAGATTAAATATGCTTTTTTTTATAGTAATGATCTTTACAAAATCACAGTTACGAGAGAGTCCTTAAAGCATTGACCTCTCCTTAAAGCATTGACTTTTATGATTTCTCACTAAAATATTCTAATTTATGTGATTGATCACTTGCGCGAGTTATCGCATCATGTATGAAAAGAAAGAAAATATAGACTCAAAAACATGGTAACTTTCTACACATGACTCAAGGCTTTGCATACACAAAGTTGGTTAGATTTTGTGTTTGGTCCACTCTTTGTAGCTTGCATGCATGAATAAGTAAGTATCTTTCTTACGCGATGCACTCGGGAATATTATATCCCTATTTACTAATTCCTCTCTAACCACTCTAAAGTAGGGATGTCAGTTTGGACCTGTTAATGGGGATCCCCGCGGGGAACGCCCCGTTCGGGGCCCCAAAGATGGGGAATTTTCCCCCGTGGGGGCGGGGATGGGGAGAAAAATTCCCCCGAGAGCATTTCGGGGACGGGGACGGGGAATACACCCCCCGCCCCGCGGGGACCCCGCCCCGCCTATTATTTTAATATAGTTAATTTAATATATATATTTTAGATTAGGTTTTTTAGTCATTTCCTTTATGTTTATTTATAAAAATAAATAAATAAATATTCATGTATTTATTAAGAGAGAGAAATGTAAATATTAGACCCTAAAAAAGTTGAAGCGTTTCATTTTCTTCTGCCAGACATTTAGAGTCTCACACGTTAGACTCCTTTTTTTCTTCTCCAGTCAAATCTCCATTCATCTTCCTCTTCCAATTCCATCTTCTCTATTTGGTGTGCTTCCATTATTCACAGCTCTTACAATTTCATCAATAAGGTTTGATTTTCATAAATTTGTTCATGTAATTATTTATAGGAAAAAATAGATTATTTCTCTTTGATTCTCATAAATCTGTTTATATTATTGTTTATAGAAAAAAGTAGATTGTTTCTTCTTGATTCTCATAAACCTGTTCATGTAATTGCTTATAGGAAAAGTTGATTATTTTGATTAAATTTAAATTAAATTGTTTAGAAATTTTAGAGTTATCAAATCATTTGCATATTAAAAAAATATAAAATAATCAAAAAATTACTCATTTTTATCTCCTTTTAAATATTTTTGTGTTCATTTTTTATCTATACTAGTATTTTTTAATAACATAATAAATATGTGAATTCTTTGTGCTTTTTATTTTTATAGAAAATATAAACATTTTAAAAAAATAAAATATTAATGAATAAATGTAGGATCTATGGGGATCCCCGCGGGGAACGGGGATCCGCGGGAAACGGGGATAGGGATAGAAATTCCCCCGTGACGGAGATCGGGGACGGGGACGGGGAATGAATTTGATGGCGGAGAAAAAGATGGGGAAGTGTCCCCCCGGCCCCGCCCCGCCCCATTGACATCCCTACTCTAAAGGTTGAATATTTGTGATTGTTGGAAGAATGTTGCAGCACTAGAACAAATAAGATATTGATGAAGATTGTATTTAGAAAATTCAAAAATGTGTGACTTTACATTCATTTTTAAGCTTAATTTGTCTACACCAATTATATATCAGATACAATTAGATTAGAATTGGTGACGAATTATCTTCAGATACTTTAAATTGTTAGATCTATTCATAAATTCATATATGAATATAATTATAAAAATAAAAACAGAAGCGTATTTAAATTTATTATTGAGAATCATTGTTTGCAGGTATTTGATCTTTTAATTTATAGAATTTCTTATGACTCTTTCTTTCTCTTCTGATGGGAATGAAGAGAGAATTTCTGATAAACCGTTTTGCGTTGTCTAAAAATGGGGATCATAACCCTTATAAATAACCTTAGAATTATTCTTTAATTTTCAATATTTTAATTTGACATCTTATCAAATTAGATATTGACTTATGGTATAATAACAAATTATATACATTCAAATTTTTAAATAATATCTTAGAAATACTTACACTAAAGTTCACAAAATCATTTACTAATAGTCATTTAATTATTCAAAAACCTCAGTTTAAACATCAATAATCTCAATCAAACAGGAGATCACCTAATAATTTCTCAACATAATTTCACACATATCTCATACACGAATATGACGACGACAACAACAAAAAGAAAAACTATCTTTCTCATTCTCTATGAAACTCCAACACCTAGTCATTTACATAAATTTAACTAAATTTTTTACACACACATAATATACAATTTCATAATAAAACTCCAACACCTAGTCATTTACATAAATTTAACTAAATTTTTTACACACACATAATATACAATTTCATAATAAAAGCTAAATTATATCCAAAATTAACCATCACAAACCACCCATGTAGTAATATTTACAATTAAAAAATAAACAACCTACTAGAAAATTGAAATAATAATATCTTTGAATCCTATCATAAGAATCAATTTTCCTTGGTGGGACCACATGGACCATTTCTAATTTGGTCATTTTCAATATAGATAACCACTCAAAAATAATGTCATGTAGTTCACTCATGGCCTTAATTAATTCAAGAAAGCTACAACCATCTATAATTAATTCAATAAAACCTCATAAATATTTGAATTTCCAAATTATATTTTTTTTCCATTAATTATCCCATCCTAGCTTCTTACTCTTTTGGATTCAAAATTCATTCTCTTGGAGATGGATCTTGAAGAATGGGAATCAGTCTCTGATGATGGCTACTTTGAGATGGAATATTTGTATCCATCACCACCAAGAAAACAAAACCAACTTGTGCCTTTACAAATTCCCTTAGAACTCAAAATTGGCAACACATCAAAGGATGTTGTTTTGTTGAAAGACATGACAAAGAATCAATCTTTTGAAGAAGAACAAGAAGAAAATGTGTCACAAGTTTTCTTTAAGATTAAGGAAAATGAATTTGTTGACATGAAAATTGAGTCACCAAAGTCAAGTAGTAGCAAAGAGATTGTTACTTCACCAAGAATGATTATTGAGAAAGATGTGTTTGGTGAGAAAGAGGATTCAAGTTGGGAAGAAGAGAACAATAGTGGTTTTAGTTTGTGGAAATGGAGTCTTAGTGGTGTTGGTGCTATTTGTACTTTTGGTGTTGTTGTTGCTTCTATTTGTGTTGTGTATTTTGGAAGCCAACAAAGGAAGAAACTTCAACAAGATAAGAAGATTATGTTCCAAATCTATGCTGATGACAAGGTTGGTAAATTTCTCTGTTTTTCAAATGCTTTTTTTCATATAAATTGTTTTTTGATAACCATATTATTAGTTTGAAGTATTTTATCGACTCTGATCGGATATTTTCGACTTATAGATTCTATGATTGCGTGTAATTAGAATTTTAATGTTGATGTTTTTTTACGAATCAAAACAATAAGGGTTGAATCTTAGAAGATCGTAGTTATAAGATCGTTTTGTCACTGTTGTGGAATTTTACAATTTCTTCAAAATTTACTTGAAATATTGAATATTTGACTAAGTTTGTTGTAAAAATTTAATTGATTATGAAGTATTGTATATTAAGCTAATCTATGATTTTGATTTCAGAGAATTAAGCAAGTGGTGCAGCATGCAACAAAATTGAATGAAGCAATTTCTGCAGTAAGAGGGGTTCCTATAACAAGAGCTCACATAACAGTTGGTGGCAACTATGATGTTTTTGATTGAAGCATCAATTAAGTGAATAATTCATGAAATACTTGGAGTATATAATGGAAACAATTCCATAAGATCTGTTACATAAAGTTTATCATATTATTTATGTAAATAACATGATACACTATGCTCCTTTATTGCTATTACTTGGTATGTATTGTAAATTAAGTATAGAATTATTTATATTTATTATAATACTTTTAAGTATTAATTATTTTACTATGTGTTTTTTTTCATTGATGTGGTGTTCTCCTTGGTCCCGTTTGTGGAGAGAGTTGGTCGGGATGTTGTGGGATCCTCTCAAGATAGAGCATTATCGGGTTCATCATGTGATTCATTTGAGTTTTTTGTGTTTTGGTTGGGATGGTTTGTTTAAGCTTAATTCTAGTCATTGTATGCCTTTCATACTCTTGTTAGATCTAAGGTGGTAGATTTTTCTTTAATTTCTCTTTTATTGAGAAGATTCTTTTGAGGTTAGGAAGTTGATTCAATGAGAAGAGTTGATGTTTTGGTTAAAGCTAACGGGGAGTATGATAGTTTTAATGATTATGGGATTCTTTCAACATTATGGGTTAAGAGGTCAAATTAAAAATAAAAAAAGTTATTAGAGATCTTATCATGGAGTATAATTTAGACTTTTTAGTTATCTTGGAGGTAAAATAAAGTGAGGTTAAAGAGGTTATGTGTCATTTGTTCTGGGTTAGTTTTTTTGTGTTTGGTGTTTTACTCGAATTATTGATAATATTTGTTAGTTGTTTTTATTTAGTATGGTGCAAAAGGGAAGGTTTTTCTCCATTTTCTAGTCTTGGTTATCTAAGAGTCAGTCTAGAATGGGAGTTCAATCTCAACTTTGTTTTGTGTTCAATGTCTACTCCAAATGTGTGTTGTTAGATAAAAAAGTGATGTGGGCGCATCTAGTCCTAGCTCACGAGAGATTTGAGGGCATGTTTGGTGTGCTTTGGTGACTTTAAATTTGTTCTTATGTCTCGTGAGAGAATTGGTTTGGATGAGGCTTCTCATGATATAGATTGGTGGAGTCCCAAGAGTTTGGTTTGTTTATCGAGATCTTGGGTTCAATGGATACCATATTATTAAGAACGAGATTCATTTGGATTCACTCCTATGGGGTGGCTATGGGTAGGTTGGGTTGCATTCTGGTTTGTGTTGGTTTGGAGAAGGAATGGGGATAGGGTAGTTTATGGGCGCTTCCTTAGGACGTCTTCTATTGTTGTCCTTATGTGCTCAAGTATGAGTCCCAACTCTGGGTCCTGAGACATTTCATAATAATAATTTTTTGTTGGGTAATGAAAATGTTGATGATGTGATTTGAGTGTCTTAAGGTTCAATGCTTGTGGTGGGGTGGATGACGTGTATGTTGCGGGATAAGGTGAAAGCTCTCAAAGCCTCTCTTCAGATTTGGAATTAATGGGCGTTTAAAAGCATGGACTTTGTAGTGTCTAATTTGTCAAAGTCTCATATTAGGGCGCCTGTCGCCTGATAGTTGGGTCGCCTAAGAAAAATCCAATGGGACCGCCCTTATGGCCCGTCCAAATATACACGTTAAGCAAGTAAATGGTTCATTGACTCAAGAGGTATAGTCGGTCAAGCAGTCTCCCTAAAAAGAGGGAGCAGACGAGACCACATTCAGGAACCATAAACGTTAGCCCTGGAAAACTCCTATAGAGGGACTATATGTAACATCCTGGGCCCCTCGCAAGGCGCTCCTGGAACTGCTACCTCATGATCTTCTCTACCCTCCCCCCCCCCCCCCCCCCCCCCCCCCTCACTAGTAGAGTTTTTTTTCTTTTGTAGGAATTAAACCATGTACCTTGGGGTTCATGTACATGTTCAATCTATTCCAACTACCAATTGAGCTACATCGCAAGGCAATCCCGATATTGCCACCTCACGATCTTCTTTATCCCCCTCTCTAGTAGAGATTTTGCCTTTCGTGTGAATCGAACCCTGGGGTTCGATTCACACGAAAGGAAAAAACTCTACTAGAAAGGGGGATAGACAAGATTGTGAGGTGGCAGTGTCGGGATTGCCTTGCGAGGGGCCTGGACTGTTACATTATCCACCAAAGGGATAAAGGATCCTCATTCATCACTACTCAGAGAGCACTCTTCTCCAAGTAGCCACCTCAAACACCGCTCTAACTGTCTGCATGCAACCTAGCAGCACCGACCACCATCAGAACCACTCACCTCATGTGTGATGGCTCCCTGGATACTCTCAAAAACCACCATAAGAGGGCTACATGCCGTCGTGAACTAGAACTCATCCATTTCATGTAATATACCTATTAGGGCCTCTGAGTTTACCTATCCTATGCACACACTTGTACTTTTTTTGGACAATACAAACTTTAAAATTAAGAGTTATGTGGAAACGCTTTAGTCTTGGGAGGATGAAGGTCTCTCGTGATCTTCTTTGGTTATGCTTTGTGTTGGTCCATCACATTAATATGGCTCAAGGAAGGGTGCCTTAACACCAGTTTTTTCATGTTTATGTAATGCAGGGGAGGCATAGAAATAGTATTCTAGCTCTTCTGATGGGGGATCGTTGGTTGGATAAAGTTGTTAAGGTTTTGGGGGGAATTCTAGGAATTTTATGGATCACTTTTTATCAGACTTTAATTAGGCCAACTTTGGATGGTGTGGCCATTTCAAGTCTCTCGTTAAGCTAGGTTGCAACGCTTTTCGTTAGATTTTTTCCACTGTAATTGGATGCAATTGTTGTTGGGATTAAGGGTAATAAGAGTGTAGGACTTGATGGATTCAATTTTTTATTTTATAGGATTTGGAACTAAATCAAGGAGGGGGATTTATATTATAATTGATCTTTTTTTTATAATCCAATATTAACCTCTAATACTTATGATTAGTTCGCCCCTTCAAATTACCCTTTTTTATGTAATCCATATTAACTAGAGAGTAATTCGATGAATGAAGGAGATAATTTGTTAGGGAAATAGTTAAAATATAAAAAATTAGATTAACTATTGTAAAGGTTTGTCCGCATTCACTTTATCTAAAGTTGTTGAATTAAGATCAAACAATTTAAAATTTTGGTAATGCTAACTTATGTTCTAAGGGTATGTGTTAAGAAATCTAATAATAAAACAAATGTGTTGGAAAATGCAAAAAATTAACTATCAACTTTTAATAAAGTTAATGTACAATTTTCAATAAAAAATCTATTTTAACTCTTAACTTATGCACTTAAGACACGTGTTAGCATTATCCTTTAAATTTAAGTAGATTTCAAATTACTTTTAAATTAAAAAATTATTAAATTTAAAATTTGTACCGTTCAATTTTAATCAAACAATTAAAAAATGTATGGAATGCATAAATACTGTAAAATTTGGAAGCGGAAAATAATAATCTGAAACATCTACCATATAAGAAAAGTTAGGGTTCTGGAAACCCTTTCATGCCCTTTCCCCTTCACCCTTTGTTGTACCCCAAAATTTTCGCTCCCATTTTCTTCAAAAAACATGCTCACAAAAGGCCTCAAATACTCAAAGCCACTCAAGAGTTGATTGGTCAAACCTCTTCCTAAGCAAGGGTCTTCAACTAGGGTTTGGTGCTTCTCAAAAAAGATTGGGTTGAAAGGGTCTCAAATGACTTTCATGATTCATCTTAGGTCCTCAATAATTCTTATGTCAAGTTTCAAGTCTTGTATCACCTGTTTGCTCAGTCAATGGCTCAGACGATTGAAAATCAATTGTATTGGGTAAAAAGTCAACTATGGTCAACATACAGTCAAACTTCAATATTTTTTGTCAACATCAACATTTTTAGGTGATATTTATCATTTGATCAAGGTTTTATCATGATTCCTCAAGGAAAGCCCTCAAATCATCAAAGATCAAAAAATTGCCAAATTAGGGTTTTTATTGAAGATGACTGATCATTAACTTCTGGCCTAGTGCATGACCTAATGGCTTAAAGCATGATCTCAAGGGATCAAATAAAACATCTTTACCTGATTACATGGATCAAGACATTTCCAAAGATACAAGTGATTGATAGTTGAAGAATTGAATCAATTGATGAAAAGTCAACAGTCATACAAAAGTCAAACTTTGACTTTTTTGGCCAACATTGGAATTCAAAAATCAAGAATCATCAAAACTATCAAACTTTGTCATCAAGAATCAAGAAAGTCAACAAAAGTAAAAAATGAAGATTTTCAAACACTTAGAAAAATTCAAGTGTTTTGTACCTAAAAAACCCTAACTTCACAAGCAAGTTTCCTCAAGATACAAGTTGATTCGAGGAGAAATTTCAACATGAAAGTTGTAGGGATTAATGAATTCTGCAACTTTGTTAATGTGGGATGATCCTCAAAAGGTTCTTGGATTAAGAGATATGGGCCCATGAAGTTCTTATATTTTTACCCAACACTTGGAAAAATTTCTAAGTGTTTTGTTCTTAACTAAGTCACTACTTTATGGCCATTTTTTACTAAGATCCAAATTGATTCAGCAAAAAATCAAAGCATGAAAGTTGTAGATCTTTATTCAAGCTTTCCAAAATGTTCAAGAACACAAAATTATCATACATGATCTAGAAGTTTCGAAGAGATGAAGATGGCATGTCAAGCTTGAATTTTAGGTCATTCTTTTGAAAACCTTATGGCCAAATATCAAACCTAAGCTACATGATCTCACTTTTCAGGCCATTTAACTTCTAAATCTCACCTTGATCAGATATTTACACAGGTCCTAAGTGTATTACACAAAGATTAGAAGCAATGTCCAAACATGATACCATTTATGGTTGAAATTGCAAAAGTAACATTCCTACTTTGATAAAGATCAACTTCTGCCAACAACTCTCTTATTTTGAGCTTGAAACCAGATATGAAGATCACAACAAAATCTCAATATCAGAATCAACCTCTAGAGATCAGCAAGAGCATGGCAAATCCCTTGAATCACTTCATTTCTTCATCATGAAGCAACATGCTTTTTTGTGCATTTTGAAACCACATAACCAAACCATCTTTCCTTGTGAACTAAGAACGATTTCTGCAGGTCAGAGGTACCATTTGCAACCTCTATAAATAGAGAGGCAAGACTCTGAACCAAGACACGAAAATTTTTCTCGAAAAACACCATTGTTGCACATTTGAAGCTTCCAACACCCAACTTCAAATCCACTTGTGTGTTTTCCTCTTTTATCATTCAAACACCTTTTATACATCAAATAGAAGTTGTCCAAACACTCTTGGCATGACTGTAACACCTCCACCATCACAGTCCAAACCTCACTTTCACCATTTGCAACTTGACTTGGTTGGAAAGTTTTAGAGGATTCTAAGGCAAGCTGAGCGTATCATTAGCTTCCTGGGAGTTCAAGGAAGCGTTTTGCACCATTACATTGTCTCTGGGAGTGGTGGAACGAGTTCTGAATTTTTC